CCCCCCCCACCCAAAAAAAAACCCCTGAAGTGATGAGATTTATCTCCAAAAATACCTACTTCATTCTTTACGACAAAACTCTCACCTAATTGATAAATTTAAGTTACTTGGCAGCATTATCTCCAAAACAGCAACTCCACTGATGATGTCCTTGACAGATTTTAAAATGTATGGATCGCTTTTGTTACAGGTTGGAATTCCATTACCATCTTGTTGAAGACAAAATTTATGGATGTAACACAGTAATTTCTTTCTCAGAGCATCGCCATAGGCACGCAGGTACAAAGGCACAGACACACACACACACACACACACACACACACACACACACACACACACACACACACACACACACACACACACACACACACACATTAATGAAATAATGAAAGAACCAAAACTTACTAATATTTTCCCCCACTTGCAGCATGGCCACAGGTACCTGCTGCTGGTCACTGATGTTGAACGGTGATGAGCTCAGACTGACCAAAGCTTGAGACAAAGAGCCTGCAGGATTAGGGTTCAAATCTTGGTTTATCACAGTCTTGACCTGGGCGATGAGGCTACCTTGACTGCGAAATAGAGACAAAAGTTTGGAGAGTTTGTGGTTGTAAATACTGTTACTTTAAATTAAATGTAAATTACAGTTATTTTTATGAAGAAGCTTTTACCACTTAATTTTTTAAAACTAAATCTGATCATTGACTAAATCAAAGCCGTGCTTATAATAAACTGTTGTGAAAGCAACCAACGTGTTTCGCACGCTCATATGCCCTTATGCAATTGCGAGCGCCGTAAAACTCTTACTAAACAAGAAGCGTCATCGTGTCCGGAGTGTTGAGTGATTCATTTGTCTTCTATAGGTCTTTTTATTAGTTTTTTCACGGCGCTCGCAACTGCATACGGTCATATGAGGGCCAAGGGGTGGATGTCAACAGAGCTTCAACAGCACATAGTCTGCTTCGACTTTCAAGGCACCCCGGAAAAAGACGGTCACAAGAGTGTTACAAGCATACAAAAGAAGTAGAGTGAAAATGACGATAGTAAGGATTAGGAAAGAAAACCCAGCAGGTCCCTGTTGTAGTCCAGACACAGTTATGAGCCTGACATTGATGAATCAGCCCATTTACAATTCTACTGTGCATAAGAACATGTTCATGCCCCCCCCCTCCCCCTTGGGAATGGCCTAAAGACACTTGGGGCGGGGGGTTCTACATGTCTGCAAGCTTCGTGTACAGGAGAGATCCACAAAACTTTTCCTTCATTTTTGACTCATTGATAGTAGTTGCACTGATACGTAACTGTATGTGCGGGTTTGTGTGTGCGCGCGCGCGTGTGTGTGTGTGTGTGTGTGTGTGTGTGTGTGTCTGTGAGAGTGAGAGAGA